TATTCCCTGAGAAACAGTACAGAGAGTGGGGAGGTGCAGAATTCGGACACAGTCCCTAAGGGGAGCCACACAGCCCCCAAGGGGATCCACAGTCTCCCTCCTCTTCTCTCCCCTCCCCCCTTCCACACACAGGTGGTTGTAGCAGAGGCTGAGCACTATGGCCTTCAGCTGTTGCTTGTAACCTTTGCTAATTTTTCTTTCCAAGTGATTCTGTATTTAACAGATGTAGTGCTTTTAAAACTAATTTTGCATGCAAATACGGCAAATTTACTAACTCAGCTTTTTGCATCAGTGGAGGGAGAGCCACTGTAGCTGTGATGCTGGTGCCATGAATTACTGTGTAGTCAGTTCCATTCGGGCCCTTATGGCAGTAACACCCCTTTGCAGCCTTCTAACTGGGCAATTGTGGTTCCACAATGGCTACAGAGCAATGGGCTTTGTTCAACTGCAAATTCCCTAGAATCGTAGTCCCATGAGAATGAATGAAATCTGTTTTCCATTCCTCTCAACCTCTTTTTAAATTGAGGATAGAAAATGAAAATAATTAAGAACAAAAATATGTGAGATACCCAGTTTCTATATGATGGCAGGGCAAAGAGGAGGCACCCTGTCTAGGTTTCTTTCACTGTCTTCTCTTCCCTTCTTGTTGGGAAATGTTGGAATCCTCCAGATATACTACCCTTCTTGGTTTACTTCCTCTGTGCGCAGCCATCCCTGCCACAGGGCTTCAAGTCCACAGGCTTTCTAGTATTTACTCTAACTGGGATGTTCCTCCTACTTTTCAAACTAAAATATTCAGCTGTCTACCAGATCCACTTGGAGGTCATGAAGGGTCTCAAACTCAGCATGCACAAGATTATTCTGTCCTCCTAGACTTTGTGAGCTTGTTAAGCTTGTTAAGAGGGTCCCTACTGCTCAGAATAGAAGGAAGGACAGCTTTTTTGACACCTTGATCACCAGGCCTCATTCGTTCTGCTCCAAAGTTCGCTTCTCCTGGGTGAGTTTCCTCTTCACATTCAGACTGGGCTCTCTCATTGCCACCTGTGCTACTCCATCTTCCCTTCCAGAAGTGGCACCCTTCAAAGGGTGGGCCTGATGTGTCACTGCCAGCTTTGTCCCCAGGTAGCATGAGGTTGAGGATGACTGGTATAGTCTAACTACTGTTGAGCTATTACTATAGATCAGTGGTTCTCAACCTTCCTAATGCCGAGACCCTTTAATACAGTTCCTCATGTGGTGACCCCCGATTTCATTGTTACAAATTGAACATGATTAAAGCATAGTGATTAATCACAAAAACAATATGTAATTATATATGTGTTTTCCGATGGTCTTAGGCGACCCCTGTGAAAGGGTCATTCCACCCCCAAAGGGGTCGCGACCCACAGGTTGAGAACCGCTGCTATAGATTGAGTTCTTAAATGTTTTGTTACTTCCAAGGACAGCCATAAATTACCACAAACTGATGACTTATCAGCAAAAGAAATGTATTCTCTCACATTCTGGAGGCCCAGGAGCCCAAAATTAAGGTGTTGGAGAACTGCACTGCCTCTGGTGTCTCTAGGGGAAAAGCCGTCCTTGCCTTTTCCAGCCTCTGGTGGCTGTCAGCCTTTTTTGGAGGTTCCACTCAAATGATGACTTCTTTGAAGAGCAGCACCTTCTCACAATTTCTTCCCACTTATTTGTCCATGCTTAAAATTCTCTTAACTTAGGGTATTTAATTCTGCTGTTGGGATAAAATGCTTTAAAGCATAAAATGATTCCCACAAAAGCAGGGGTATCAAAGAATAAGGTCATTTCTCATAAAATGGGATCTGAGCGTGGATACCAGGAGTCTGTGTGAGCAGACATGGAGTGTGACAACTAAGGCTTTAGTTGGTTGGGGAAGCCTCTAGGTGGAGATGAAACTCAACCTGTATGAAGGCAGCAGGTAAATAGTCACATGAGACCCATTTGGATGTCATGGGTCCCACTGCCTGGCTGGATCCATGGGCCTGTTCAATTAAACACAAGCCCTGGTTGGGAGAGATGGGGTGGTGAACAATAAGAAGTACACAGGTGGCCAAAATGAAATGTTTGGTCAGGGCTCTGTAAGCTCAGGAGTGGCATACAGATCTTAAGAATATTTGAAAATTTAAGAGGTATTTGAGAAAGATCCGTGGCAACCATTGTATTTAGGGGGAATGAGTGGGAGCAAACACACATTATGAAGTGGCTATAGTATTCTAGAGGTGAGGTGATAGACCCCAGACAGTGGTTTATTCAAACATTAAGGCCGCATTTCAACCCAGTTTCTCCTGAAATGTAAAAAGCAACAGGTAAGTGGCCAAATATGAAGAATGAGAGAAGGACTGAATTAAATTTAAAATATATTTTCCCAAGAAATTTGGTGGTGGCTTGTTGACAATGGGCAGGTAGGGCAGATAAATTCTGTTGTTGCTAGTGTCTGCTGAATGCTGAATGCTCAGTCCTCATCTTCCTGGATCCAGCCAACAGCATTTGCAGACGTGACCCCCTCCTCCTGGGAATACTTTCTTCCTTTGGGGTTCAGGACATTACACGCTCCTGGTTTTCCTCTTACCTTACTGATGTCTCTTCTCAGTGTCCTTTCCTGGCTGCTCCTCCTCTTCCTACCTCTTGATATTGGCACACCCCAGGCTTCATCTCCTCTAATTAGGCTTCCTTCTTTGTTGATCTCACCCACTCTCAGAGTTTTAAACACCTATACCACAGAATCTTGCACAGTCATATTAAGAATGAATTAGAGTTACACTGGCCGAGTTTAAAGAGTTTCCCATACTATACTGTTATATGACAGAGAAAAGGATACTTTGTGGGAATATGAACCCACTTTTTATTTTTATTTTTATTTATTTATTTATTGCTAAAAGTATTACAAAGGGTATTACATATGTGTCCTTTTGAGCCCACTTTTTAAACTTTTTTATTGAATTTATTGGGGAGACATTAGTTAATTATATAGATTTCAGAAGCCCATTTTTTTAAACATTGGTGAAAACTAAAACCTCATACGTCAATGTATGTATAATCATATGTAAGCCAGTATATGATTATACGAGCAGGTATAAAAGTCTGTAAAGAAACGGACATGGGCTACCTAGGAGGAGGGTTGGGGAGGCAGTTGATAAAAAGCAGGGAGAAGAAGGAACAAGGAGAAAGTTCTACACTGAAACCTGAAATACAAACTCTGAGCCCCTTTGTGCATGTTCATTTCACGTGTTTATAGCTTTGTCTAATGTGATGTATGAAAAGTTGGTCAGTAAATCGGAAATAGTGAGCATTTTAAGATGTAGAATTTCAAATAAACTTTCTGCTTTATATTTTTATGTATTGCTTAAAGGTTTTAAAAAAGCATGTATGAATTCTCAAGAAAAAAAAATAGACCTATTTTTATTTAGGGAGAAAACTCAGATAATTAAATTGAGCTTTGTCTCTTAGTAGAGGCCACAAATTGGCTTTTATTCCTTTAGACTAAAAATTACCATCCAAATGTTATTGTCTTGCAAAATTGCTTTAATTATAAAACGACATTTTATCATATATATTGGTCTGACCCATTTAAAAGTGTTTTATTTTACATTTGGCAGGTAATACCCACTGGGACTCCTATGCTACCACGATGAAGACTGCATTCACGCCTAAGACAGGAACAAAACCTGCTTTAATTCGGTACATTCCTACTTGAGTCACACTTTAGTTTGTTCATTTATATTCTACTAGGGGCCCAGTGCATGATTGAAAGGAACTGTGGGCCACGAGGCTGGAGTAGGCACAGGGGCGGGTCTTGGCCCATTCTCCATGCCCCCTCCGGGCCCCTCCTGCTGTCTGCCGGCAGCCCCGCTCCCACTGCTGTCACTCCCATATGTTGATGGCGCTGGCCCTACTCACACCCGCTGAAGATTCTGAACGATTGGGGCTGGCGCCAGCAGTAGGTGCAAGTGGGGCTGGTGCCAACAGTGGGTGTGAGCAGCAGCTGCTGCCCTGATCGCCCCTCAAGAGGAGGGGGAGGAGGAGAAGCCCTCAGGGGCAATCAAGGCCAGCAGCCGCCGCTCACACCTGCTGATGGCACCAAGCAATCAGCACCAGTGCTGGGCACTGGCAGCAGGTGCAAATAGTGGCTCCAGTGCCAGCTGCGGGTATGAGCCGGGTGCGAGAGGCAGCTGCCGGCCCCGATCTCCCCTCAGGAGCAGGAGGAGGTAGAAAAGCCCCGAGGAGCGATAGGGGCTGGCAGCCACTGCTCACACCCGCTGATGGCGCCGGGCAATCAGGGCTGGCACAGGGCACTGGCAGTGGGTGCAAGCAGGACTAGTGCTGGCAGCAGGCGCGAGTGCCAGCCAGGACCATGCATGCAGGAGCAAAAAATTTTCAGTAACCACCAGAGGCTCACCCTGAAAACAGAGACTGCCACCCCATCTTGGTCTGGTGCCCCCCACTCACCTGCTCCACCATCCCGCCGGGGCCAATGCCCACCATGTTCCACGCACGCCCCCTGGTGGTCAGCGCATGTCATAGTGACCAGTTGTTCGGTTGTTCTGCCATTTGGTCTATTTGCATATTAGCCTTTTATTATATAGGACTATTCACAATTCAAAACAAATAGCAAGAGTAACCAGAGAGAGCTTATAAAAGGTGCACTCAGGTAGAACCTACTGCATGCACAGTTCTCCCAGCATCTGAGAGTGAGAGTCCCCCTTCAAACAGTCTCTAAAACTCCAGCAAGAAAACTAAGAAAACAGACCCAGAGATTCTTCATCAAGTTACTGTGTGTCACGGCTTACAGTAGAGCCATAAGTATTCTAATAGAATTGTGCTGCCTAAACACTGAGAATTAATTGAATCCATTACCTGAGTCATAGTGGGCAGGCAATGACAACTGAATGAATGGATGATATCAGCACTAGTGCCACAGACCCCTTACTCTTACCTTCACTCCTCCACTTTTTGCTTTCTAAAGCAATGTTGGCTGGCAACTTCTCCAATTCCACCTGAATTGTGAGTGGGATAATTTCCAACTTCACTGCTGCCTTTCTGAGCTCTCTGGTGGGTGAGTGAGAGTGGGACTAGAAAAGCCCTGGCATCTTTCATGGTATCAGTGGTGGGTGGGAAATTAACAAGGAGACCCTTGACTTGCCTGTGTTTACTCTGTGAATTGTTTTCAATAAAGAGGATCTTTTCACCTTAAAAGTTCAAATTATTGAGAAGTCAGATGCGTATTGGCAAGACCATGGCTGTGGAGTCAGGCAGAAATGGATTCTAGCGTCAGCTCTCTGCTCTAACTTGTATTATCATCGCTACCCAGGCAAGTAGCAAGCCATCTGTGGCTCAGTGTTACGGTTGGTGGTGGTTCTGAGAACAGAATGAAAGCACTAGCACAGTGACTAGAGTGAAGAGTTCCTGAGGGCTGCAAGACTTGACTTCTGAGTTATTGGCTATCCCACTGAGTCCCATTATGTCCCTTCCATTATGTCCCTTCACTGGGAGATTTATCTTCTGACAGTAATGATTCTGCCAGCTTCCCAGATAGTAACAGTTGTCTGAAGATGAAAGCCAAAAACAAATGGGTACGAATGAAGTCTAGGTCAGTGGGCCTCACTCAAACTGAAATGTTTAAGTTCAAAGAAAAGTTTTCATCATAAACTTAAATAGTTACAAAAGATAAAACTTCAAGCCCATCCTAATATTGACATTAAAAACTAAAACTGTTAATTCATTTCTTTAAATATAACCAGGGGGTAATCTAAACACTTTAGCAAATTGATATGCACTATATGATCCCTTTTTTATATGATCCTTTTAAACAATGCACAAATAAGCTCTTCTTTCATAGATAATGATTTCATTAATTTTCCTTCTTAAACTTTTATTCCCACTCTACTTCCTCCATAGAATTTTACCCTGCTGTAATATATTTTGGTTTAAAATCAATTTATTGATCATTTCATTATACTTCCTGGCAACTATTTTAGTATATTAATTGAAATTAATTTTTAAACATGTTGTGTGACCCTAAGTTTTGAGTCATCACAATTATTTTTAGTACACACTTGCTGAAAGTAATACATATATTACACATGTTAATAATTACTAAATACAAAAAGTAAATTTAAAAAATTTAAATATAAAAGTAAGTACACCTTAATGAAATAAATGGGGCTATTTTGTTTTCAATTAGTTTATGTATCTAGTTTTGAGTGTTACTACTTTTGGAGTGAGATTGCATTCAGCATTAATTTTTTACTGCTTCTTTGAAAAATTTTTTTTAAATTTGTAGATGCTAGTGTTGAGAAACCTTGTTCACATAAGCAGATATGAATAGAAGGCATTTTTAGTGTCGTTTACACTCTAAACTCTCAGTTATATACAATGATTGATTGACTGATACCATGAGTGGTACTCATTCAATTTTATTGAAAGCAAATAATTAGATGATTTGTCATCTAGTTATTGAGTTATTTCCTTTCCCATTTTTCTGAGAAGTATACTGAGAAGGCATGTCTTAACAAATAACTAGAAATTACACGTTACTCTTTTACTTAGAGGAAACCTGTTTACTGTTATATACTCAAAAAGACGTAGAGCCCTGGCCGGTTGCTCAGTGGTTAGAGTGTCAGCCCTCAGACTGAAGGGTAATAGGTTTGATTTCTGATCAAGGGTTCATACCTTGGTTGCAGGCTTGATCCCTGGGCTTGGTCAAGGTGCATGTGGAAAACAACCAGTTAATGTGTCTCTCTCACTTTGATGTTTCTCTCTCTTTCTCTGTCCCCCTCCTCCTACTCTTCACTATCTCTAAAAAAAAAAAAAAAGCCCTACCAGTTTGGCTCAGTGGATAGAGCATTGGCCTTCAGACTGAAGGGTCTCAGGTTCAGTTCTGATCAAGGGCATGTACCTTAGTTGCAGGCACATCCCCAGTGGGGCGTGTGCAGGAGGCAGCTGATTGATGTTTCTCTCTCATCAATGTCTCTATCCCTCTCTCTTCCTCTCTGTAAAAAATCAATAAAAATATATTTTAAAAAATTTTAAAAAATCAATGGAAAAATATTCTTGGGTAAGGATTTAAAAAAAAGAACTTAGAAAATGGGAACATTAGTTTCAATAAATGTTTTCCAAAACAATCTTTTTTTTAAAAAAAATAAAGAGCTTTTGCACATACTTAAAATATATTTTAATCAAAATCTTGGAGCTGAAGATTAATTCATACAATTTTCAGCGTGTTTACTTTTTGGTAAAATCAGTCCTTGTCAAAAATAAAAAAAAATAAAAAAAAAACAACAAAAGAAAAAAAAAATCAGTCCTTGTCAAACCAAAAAGAAAAATTAGTTTACTTATAGTCAAAAGAAAATCTGACTCTATTTTCTGTTAAATTAAATGCATATATATTATTTAAGGAATATTATGAAAACTACTGATAAATTATGGAATGCATATTTTAGGATTATTATTGAAAGTAGACAAGGAAGTGTAAAAAGATTCAGGTCTATTATAGTTAATTATATCCAAGTAATAAAAATAATGCAATGAAATATGTAACTTGTCTGTGAAGTGAGGAATATAATTAAAAAACATGTTCCTTATTAAATACTAGAGGCCAGGTGCACAAAAATTTGTGCACTCAGGGGGAGGGGGGGTCCCTCAACCCAGCCTGTGCCCTCTCACAGTCTGGGACCCCTCGGGAGATAACCACCTGCTGGCTTAGGCCTGCTCCTGGGTGGCAGAGGGCAGGCCCAATCCCTAGGTGCAGCCCTGGTTGGGCTCAGAGCAGGGCAAATTGGGGAATTGGGGTGTCACCTCCTGCCATGCACAGAGCAGGGCGGATCGGGAGGTTGCGATGCCACCCCCAGTCACACTCAGGGTGGGGCCGATTGGGGGTTGGGGCGCCGCCCCCTGTCACACTGAAGGCAGGGTCGATGGAGAGGTTGCGGCACCACCCCCTGTCACACCCAG